TCGGGGCCGCCCCGGGAGTGAGCTTGAGCTGCTAAGTGATTGCTGGAACGCAATCTCACGGAAAAGCAGGTGAAGGGTTTCTTTCGGGGTACATCTCGAGTGAAAAGGACCCGCTCTGCTGGCTGCTCTTCATAGGCAAAATAGAACTCGCATCTGGGATGGTAAAATCGTACGTGATAAGTTTAGGCGACATACAGGAACAGCTAGAATTATGCAGCATCACTGAAGCTCAGAGGTATGAATGCACGTTAACAGCATCTTCCTCAGGGCCAAGGTCAGTGTGGAAGCACATATGAACGCCAGAGTTACAGTAAGGCTTCAGTGTTAGATTGCTTCATGATAAAAAGAAAACAGTATGTATTTTAATGTGAACTTTAATTTGTGTTAAAAGCAGTCAGATGTAAAGAATTATAAGAAGGACATGGAGCTGTGCCCTGTGACTCTGAACGGAGCGCAGAGCAGCTGCTTTGCGATACCCGGCAGAAGCAAGCGTGTCGGGGTGTGCCTGCTGCAGCTGTGGTTGTGCAAGTGTGCTGTCTGCAGCTCTCTAGAGACTGGGCATCTGGCAGTAAACGGGTCTGATTTCCCTGCATCCCAACTCAGGGTCTTCTGCTTGCATAAAAACTACTCGTATTTTTTAAAAATGTACTGCTTTCAGCTGGATTCTGCCTCTAGAACATAAAGTGTCTTCTGATTTATGTTCAGGATTTTCATTCTAAGATGCAGTAATTTGTGAAAACTGCGTTAAAGCCATGATATCCCCAAAAATAAAGAATTACAAATTTCATGTAATATGATTTTCTGTGTATAAGTCATCTCTTGAAATTAGGGCTTTAAGAGAAGCATCAAATACAAATTTTATGATAATAATTGGAGTTAGTGCAATGTTTCCAGCTACTTCACCCCTTTAATGTTTTAATTAATTCTGACCTGTAGTACAGGATTTCATTAATCTGCTTTTTCTGTACTAACGTGACTACGATAAATTCAAAACTCTGATTGGTTTGTAGGTGCTCTTCTAGTAGTACAGCTCTTGGGAAGACTGTGGACAATTCAGAAGGTATGATGTCTTAATTACTAGTTTCTTGCCTGTGTTTTTTTAATCTCCAAACAGCATAGGAGATAAAGAAGACATGAATGCCCTCTTTTTTTTTTTTTTGCCCCATCTTAACATTGTGCAGCGATTTCTTGGCTTGACTATCTTCACCAGCAACCACTCTGTGCTCCCAGAGTTGTCCAGGTCCATGAGCTGTCCAGCTGCTCTTTGAAACTGAATGAACTATACAACGAAAATAAGGAGGTTTTCACCTTAGTCCTGACAGTTTCCTTCACATTCTCGCTTCTTATCTGTACTCCTTACCGTATTTCTTCTACAAGTTTTGTGAAAAAAGTAATCTGGGATGCTTGGAGCCATGGTGCACTTGGGAACAAGTTCTTGCCAGTCAGTAACAGCTCATGGAAGCATCAACACAGAGGCAGTGGGCAAAGTGCCCCTGTAGACCCTGGCTCTGGGGGTTGTGACCAGGAGGCCCCACATGCTCCTCTGTGAATGAATTTGCTAAGATGCTTTGCTGACAACCTCTAGCTGCTTCTTTTGGTATTGTCCTGTGTTTTTTTTTTTTCCTGTCTGGGAAAACTGGCAAAGTTGATCCTTGGGGTGGAAGGAACTGAGCAGTTGGTGTCAGGCTGTTGGAGCAGGAGCTTGAGAGGGCACTTTGCTGCAGTATTCAGGCAGGCTGAGCTGGAGAAGCCAAATGAGCAGAGATGGCAAACTCCAAACTGGGGCACTAAGAGTAGGAAAGCAAGGGACTGGGAAAGGTTGGGGCTTAAGCGAGAAGATACAAAATAAGGATGATTGAAGATGCTTGAATGGGTAAATGGGTACAATGTCTTTGACATTTGTTTACCATAGGGCCCTGATCCTGTCTTGACACAAGACTCTTAAGCTCCCTACCAGCCTTGTCTGTTACTATTGCAATAAATTGTGCCCTACTTTAGACTGTGGTTTTAAAATCCTTGCTTTAGTACTTTCAGCTGGATCAGCTTAAGTCATCAGTGGCCATGAGGTCAAGATTTTCTTTGTGCATATGTTCGTATCTAAGAACAGTTTTAATATTGTTTCTTGTAGTTACTCAAGAAGAAATTGTGCTCCCACGAAAGAAAACCTGGTGAGTGTTTACTGCTGGAATATCTCTTGACGTGGAAGAAAATCATTGTTCGACAGCTAAATGTAGTCTGTCCACCAAAGCTGAAAAAGAAAATTCAGGTTGCTGTATTCTTGGGTTTAATGTCCCACTAGTGGCTTTTGTGCTGGCTGGGAGCTCTGGGAGTATTCTTAACTCTTACTCTCCATGCAGAGTATGTACATTCCATTCCTGACCTTTCTTTTAAAAACAGTTGTAAGGACTGCATTTTTAAACATAGTTCTGTTGCTTTGTAAAAGATCACATTCACTAGAAATCTGTAAAAGCAAGTTAATTTGGCTGTCTGTGTGTAGGTGTGTTTCTTTCAGAAAAAAACCCCACCATTGATAACTGGCTGAATAAATCCAATTTAGAAATTATGCAGCTGAACAAAAGCTATTTTGTTGGAAGCACTTAAGATGAAATGGCATGACTGTACAGCAGAAACTAAGTTTTTGGCAAAATCATATCTGCATGCAAACCTAGAATAAGACCACCTTCACCTAAACACTTTCAGTGGCCTTTCCTTGTTTGCTTGAAACACAACCAAAGTCTTAAGCATCCACAGGCACAAGAGTCCTGAGTTTTGGGTTCTTTTCCTCCCAAGACTTGTCTTGGAGAGGGACTTATGTATCCATGCTTCAGAAATGTGGGGCTCTGAGAGGAGCATTTCAGGGAATTCTTTCTGTGTCCCTTCTCTGTGTTCTTTCTTTGATGATCTATAAGAAGGGCAGGAGTGGTAGCGGGAAACACACCTACTTTTCTCATTTTCCTCAAAGTGTTTTCCTTTTCCTGTGGTTGTTCCAGAACTGAGACTGTTTTGCAGTTGAATTTTCCCTCCCTTTGCAATAAGTTGTGTTTTCTAAGTGCAGCAAAACCGTTATTTCATAGAACTGAAAATCCTTACAGGCCAGAATAGTCCTGTGCTTGTTCTGCATACAATGTAATGCATAACATTTGAAGTCGGCAGCTGAGTATTAACCAAAGCTCCTTTATGTTTAGGGATAAGCTAGCTGTTCTTCAGACATTGGCTTCTACTGTGAAGAGGGTGAGTAGTTCTGTTGATCGTGGAAATAGGTTGAGTTGTCCATCTCATGCAGTAGCCTTGCACTCTGAGGCTCTTACTTCTACTTTGGCCAGAAATGAAAGATGGGACTTTTCCATCTGTTTTTATGAGGTTTTCACATTTGCTCAACACGTTTTGCTGTGTCTTTAAAGCCTCATTGTAGCGCTAAGAGAGAGCTGCAACTACCACTGACAGCTGTAATGTTTTGCTGAGGCTTTTGCTAACATCAGGAGCATGTTCATTTACCGGTTCAGCTTCCCGGTCCAGTCTGCCTCTTCCCAGTCTCAGTCCAGACAGTAAGCCTTGCAAAGAGCAATCAGTGTCTACTCTTGTTAGGCAACAACTGTAAATGCAGTGATGCCATTCTTTAATTCTGTCTGTCTTGAGTTCTGGAAATTGATTCTGCAAGTCCCATCAGCTCCCCCTAGACTGTTACAGTTGGGGTCCTGCTTGCTTTGCAGGGCACTTACTGCTTGTCATGTTACCGTAAGGACCATTTTGTTGTCAGTATGTTAGCCTGCATGTGTGTGTACAATGGAAAAGCTTTTTCAAATATTTCCAAGCAGGCTAAACCTTTTGCACAAGGGGAGCTTTTGTGAAAAGAGCGTCAGGTGGTGGTCATGATGGAAGTGTTCATTGTGCCTTAAATTCCTTGAGGCAGTGTGATATGCCTGGGGCGTGCCTGTGTACGTAACTGTACATGTTTCAATCCTGGAATGTCCTTTCTACAGGATCCTACTGCTGCTCATTATATGTTCCAGGATGACCCTTTCCTTATCCCAAGAAATGCAGCCAGTGCTGTAAGTATTTCTTTTCAAATCGTTGATACCTTCCCCCTTCCCACCCTTCATCTAGGCTATGAAAACTACTGGAGCCTGGTTTCAATTACAAAAGAAAATGTAAATATCATACTTCTTTCAGAATTTTCTGCTCTGTATTTCTGAATGCATAATGACTGTAGCATTTCTTTGGACAAATCCACCCTGCCCGCACAGAGTTATCTCCTCTTCCTGCCCCTGTAGGGACCTTCCAGCTGACACAGCTCTGTTATCATTCCTGCAAATTAGTGGCTTAGCTGCCGCGTTGTTCTGTTTCTCCATGTTCCTAGTCCGTTAACTAACTCCCAACAGTAATTTTTTAGCTGAGACATTCATGCTGTTAAAACTGTGTTTATATGCCTTGGATATAGACTGAATATATAGTATTGCAAGTGTTGAAATTTTATGCTTATAGTTTAGTTAAATTTGAATTAAATGTGTTAATTAAAATACACATGGTAACTCGTGAGAGTGTTACTACATAGATTGCATTTTATCAGTTAACTCCGCTGGCCAAGCCCCAGGAATTTTAGTTTTATCACAGAACAGCTATTTGATAACTTGGCTTATGGAAATAGTAGTGTTGAGATGAGAATAGAAAGGAAGAAGAGCAGGAGTCTTCCCCTGATGTTACCTTTTCATACAATTAAGTAGCATGAAGCTGAGGCAGGAGAAAGCAAAACTGGAAATGAGGGCACGAAGGAGCTGCTGCGTGTGATGTTAGAGAGTACTGAGAGAAGACTGGGAGCTTGAGGTAGCAGTGCAGCATTTCAGATGTCTAGCACAGAACTTTGTCCCTTGACTAAATAACAAGTAAATTACAGTCTCATTTAAAGAATAGACATTCTTATGTTGGTATAAATACCAGAATGTTTATTTGGGATGTTGTCTTGTGCCTGTGTTTTTATTAAGAGTCAAAAATGATGCATGAATTTAATTTGATCCCGCTGGAATGCTCAGTGTTACTGAAAACGTTTTTCTCACTCTCAGCCTTTTAATTTCGTGTTTTTTCATCTTGTTCTCTCTCATTCCTATGCAGCGTCTATTTGCATTGTCGAAGGAGTCTGGGAGAAATGCTGCAAAGTACATTATTAAGCAATTTCCTCAGTATTTTGACAAGACTTTTGCAGAGCCCAACGTACCAGTAAGCTTTTTGCTTTTCATTTTCATATTCGTGCTTTGCCAGATGGTGAAATCAGCTGTCAGCCTGGTCCAAAACTAACATAAAAGGATAATTTTGTTAGCTGTTTTGCGGACAGCTGTGAAAGCATACTGTATTTCTGTTATGTTTCTGAAGTGAACATTTTTCCTAAGGAGTTCAGTATCATATCAGGTTCTTTAGATAAAATTAAGAAAATAAATGTTGTTTGGCTACTGACTCGCTAGCATGAAAGTGGAAGATTGGGATGTGTGGTCCTTCATCACCAAAAGGACTGCTGCTGTTAGGCTGGGAGGGTCGGGAGACTGTCATAGCAGTGTACTGGGTGAAGAGTAAGCACATTTGGTTAGTGTTCTAGCGATGGTTTAGAGAAGGTTTGAGCTCATGTCTGACTTGCTCTCTTTGCTTTTAGTGCTTGATGCCTGAGACTCTTACACCACAGATTGAAGGAGTGAGTGAGGAAGCTCTAAAAGAGCGTATCCACCTCAGAAGGGTGAAGGAGTCTGTGGATCTGTTCGATCAGCTCATACAAGCAGGTATGTGGTCACCTGCCAGATTCTGTGGTGGAGCTTTACTTAAATTGTGCCAAAAATATTTTAGTAGCTGGCACAGGTATGGAGGTACATAACCATGTTGCTGCCTTTCACAACTGGCTCCAGTCTGGTGAAGTGGTTCTGAGAATTTCTGGGCCCTCCTTATCCAGTGCTTGTCTGATATGTCGCTTTGGTGATACGGAGAACAGACTGTTTCCTGATCAAGAAGCAGATGATAAGGTGTTGAGTTCTTTTTCTTCTCTTCTGAAGTGGGACAATTCGTGATGCAGTAAAGCAGGGCCTGTTACAGGCAGATGCTATGTGATTGCACGGTACCATTCTGCCCACAAAGGCCCTCGTGCAGTGACATACGGGTTGGGATAAGCTACATCTGTGCTGAGTGCTTTGCTGTGGTGTGGGGTTGGGATAGCATACCATCCGAGTGCCCCTCATGTGGACCTGCCCTCAATAAATGAGTCTTTCTCAGTTCCTCCTGAATTTGGACCTTAGCTCTGTCATGGGTGAATGAGGAGGAATTAATAGAAAATTGAAACTGCCACAGCATCCGAAGGAGGAAAACTTACTGGGAAGGTGAGACCTTTCCGTACCTGCTACAAGATGGAAAGGAGATGATTCCATCAAATTTGTTGGTTTTAAATGTGTTTCATGTGAAGTGAAACACACAAAGTGATCTTCACTGCAAGGTTTATCATAGGAGTAGTTATGAAAAGCACTAGAAATTTCAAATGTTGCGTTGGGCTTGTGCTGCTTCACAGCTTTAGCTGCCAGCTGCCACTTCCCTCTCCCACTTTGTCAGGAAAACTACCCTTTTGGTGGCTTCAGCAGAAAAAAAGATACGCTATTTCACATTGTCTCCTGCTATGACTGGGTTCATGGAAGTATTAGTGTCACACACAGGTTTTACAGATTTGCTAGAGAACACCTTTATGTCAAAAGAGAACTGGGCATAACTGAGTGTTTGAAAGTTTTCTGCTATGGCTGTTGAATGGTGTGTTCTTTACTTTCTCTGCCACTGTTGTACATCCTCATTTTCCATAGGTACCCCCATATCTCTGGAGACCACAAACAGCCTTTTAGATTTGTTATGCTTCTGTGGAGATGGAGAAGCTACTCCGGAAAAAGAGGAAGAAGAAAAAGAGGATTTGGAAGAACCAGGGGTATAAAAAGCCTGTTGATCTCATTTGTTTGTTTCTTTCACACGTAGTGGGAGTGTATCAAGGTGATGTCACAGATTCACAGAATGGTGGGAACCTCTGGTGATCATCTAGTCCAACCCCCCCTGCAACAGCAGGGTCACCGTCCAGGCGGGGTTTGAATATCTCCAGAGAAGGAGACTCCACAGCCTCCCTGGGCAGCCTGTTCCAGTGCTCCGTCACCCTCAGAGGGAAGAAGTTCTTCCTCATGTTCAGGTGGAACTTCCCATGCTTCAGTTTGTGCCCGTTTGTCCTGTTTGCTGGGCACCACTGAAAAGAGTCCGGCCCCGTCTTCTTGACACCCACCCTTAAGATATTTGTAGGCATTTATTAGGTCCCCTCTCAGCCTTCTCTTCTTCAGGCTAAACAAGCCCAGCTCCCTCAGCCTTTACTCGTTAAGAGGGATGCTCCAGTCCCTTCATCATCTTCGTAGCCCTCCGCTGGGCTGTCTCTAGTAGTTCCTCAGAAGGAAGATTTTTGTCAAGATTCTGTCCTGTGACTACCTGCCTGGGGGGTGGTGTGAGGTCGGTCAGATGCGGTCAATGTTCCCTAGAGATGTGGCAGTTACAACAGTCCTGTGTGTAACCTACTAGCAAAAGTAGTTTCCGTAAAGCTGAGCTTAGCAGCTGGAACCCTGTCTTGGCTTAGTTCTGCTGAACTGTATTCAAATAACTGTTTCTCACCAACAGCCTTGTTTTTATAGTTGGCTGCAAAGAACAACTCTAGTACTGCTAGTGTAAAATCAGCTAGTTAATTCTCTTCCAGTCTGAACCATAGTATGTAGATGTCAGTGAAGTTGAGGGCTTCTTGTGTGACCTCAGAGTATCAGGTCGCAGGGTACAGTAGCAGATGTGTTGCACAATACGCATCCTTGGGAGGACTGCTAAGGGAGAAAGGGTTTTACAGAGTATGTCCTTTAGTCTAGTGATTCCCACCAACTCCACAAATACATACAATTTGCCTTGTGAGTATGTTTAGTAACATAAACAATATTCTTCATCTAGTTACTGCTTCCTGAACATTATAACAGAAATTATTTTAATGTAGCCCATTAAAAAACACCTTTGGTATCATATAAATGGCTGCTGAACTTCTGCATTATTACAAAATCGTGTCATTTGATGTTCAGTTATAACTTTGAACTCTCAGAAGCTTACTTCTGCAAAAATCTCGCCAGGTGAATGCTTCAGAGCAGAAGGCTCCAAGGAGACGGTTCCAAAGGGGTTCACAGTCACCTGGGTGGAGGTATGGAAAAATATTCCTGTATTCAGCGGGTTGTGCACATGCATTGTTGTTCTAAAGCAGACTTAAAGGCTTTTTAGCAGCACATACTTGGAGGTGTTCCTTGTTAAATACAGCTGTGTTCACTAATCTTTTGAAGTGTTGATGGAAATCTAGTAAGTGAGTGTAGAATGACTGAAAGTGTTACAAGTAACGTATTTGAATGGCAGCCCTTGGGAGTACAGCCCGTTATTTTGTTCTGCATGTTGAATCCTTTTCCTAAGGGTATCTTTTATTGAATTCTTTAACATTCATCTTCTTTGTTGATCCTAGGGAGGACAACAATGCTGAAAGGATATTTAAGATCATGCCAGAGAGGAATGCACACTCCTATTGCACAATGATCCGTGGGATGGTGAAGGTAAAGTTACCATTCAGTGCCAGGAGGATTTTTTTTCAGCTTGTGAAATCTCACACAGTCATAGAGATTGTTTTTGTTGGGTTTTTGTTTTTTGCAGCATGGGGCTTCTGCTAAAGCTTACGACATGTACATAGACTTGCTGAATGAAAGACACAAGGGTAAGTGTCTCCTGGTTTTGACTTGTGGTCTTCGAAGTAGCAGTAACCAGTTGTTGGGTACATGAATATATGTTTCATGGCAATGATGATTGGCGCAGGGGTACGGACCTCAGCTAGATCATGGGAGCTGAATGCAAACTGTTTATTTCAGTGCAGCTGGCGTGTGGCTGGCTCACTGGAAACAGGTTTGCATGAGACTGCCAAAAACTGAGCCATGTTAGAGCAAACTGTTTTCTGTAGAATGGTCAGTTAAAATGTGTTATCTTATATTTTCCAGCTGATGTGCACACCTTCAACGCCTTGATTACAGCAGTCCCATATCTAAAGGAGAAGTTCGTAGAAAGATGGGAATTAGCCAAGGTAAGGAGGCAGAACAGAAGAAACGGGGAAGGGCTAAGAGTGTAGGGGCTGGGTCTGCTTAGTGAGTAGAATTTTGCAGTTACTAGAAGACTAAAAGCAAGAGCTTTGCACAAAGATACTAATACCTGCTCTAAAGGAAATACACTGGTTTAAACATACTAACTATTGAGGAGTGGAAAATGTGCAGACCCCAACCTTGCCCTTACAGAATGGTGTGCGTTGTGAGAACATACCTGATCCAAGAACTGCCCGGACAGAAAGTAGTTGGGAAATTATGCTGGGAGATAAAAGTTTTAGATAAAAACCCTTCTCTGAATTGTGGTTCATGGTGGTGTGATGGAAATGGAATTTTGAGGGGTAACATTAGAGGCTCCAGTTTTAATGACTTAACATCAGTAAGGAAAATTAGTACATAAATTAAAAAATTTCCTTGATGTTCTAGACATGATTCGCCAAGATCTAATCTGATGTAATTTTGTAGTCTTGTTTTTTGGTCAAATTAATTAAAAATTAGATGGTACTCTGTTAATAAATGATCAGTTGAGGTAGAGTTGTTAGCCTGAAGGGAATGAGAAGGATGAGATTGAGGAAATGCATGTATACCTACCTGAAAGCTGAACTGTGATCCACAACACGTGAGGCACTAAGGATTTTGGGATTTTGTTTAAGGTTTTCCTGAATCACATGGTTCAACAGGAAGTGCAACCAAATCTGCTAACTTTTAACTCTTTACTGAAGACTCTGAGAAGATGTGGTGGTGTAGGCAGAAGTATGTCTTTATTGGCAATAAAGGAAATGGAAGCACTTGATATAGGTAAGAGAACCAGAATGGTTATTGTATTTCAGTGCCACCTCCAGAATGGCTAAGTTCAGCAGCAAGCAACATCGTGATTCCTAGTTGCAGGGAAGAAGTCCCTTGTGGAAAAAAGCATTTCTCACTGTGTTCTCGGCTTCACTACTTGTTTCCTTTTGCAAGAGAACTGAGAAAGAAAACTGTCCAAGTGCTGAGCTGTGGCCACTCAGCAAGCCACTGACTGTGGATTTCAAATCGAATCATCATGTGCAGAGACTTTGTTCAGTGTTTATTACTAATTACAAAATAGCGGGTGCACTTAGCCCCTGAGGTCAAATAATGAAGCATTTTGATGCTGTAGTCTTTTAGGTTAGGAGCAAGTTTATCGTTACATTCTTACCTGTAGTGGCATCTAGTTTCTCGAGGACGGGTGTGTGTGTATGCAGTGGGGGAGTGTGTCCTGGCCCATAGGCTCTTTCTCAGCTGGGTCCTTGTCGTAGTAATGCTGTAGAAATAGTGACTAATGTGAGTATGTATTTGCAGCAGTCTGCTGAGTCTGTTAGCTTCCCATAGATTAAGGAGATTTACTTCACAAGCCACCCAAGCCAGTTCAGGTCTATATATCTACATCTCTACAGAAAAAAGCTTTTGACCTAGATGATGTTTTTTGATGTCAAGTGAACATTGCAAAAATACAGAATGTTGGCATAGCTGATTTGCTGTCTTGTAGAGGGTGCTTTGCCCCAGTAACATGCTTGCTGAGACACCAAAGACAGGTTCTTAAGCAGAATGGAAAATGAGTTATGAAATATTTTTGCTTTCAATTTAGAGCAGGGAAGCTTGAGCGTTCGCCCCATAGCAATATGGTGCTTCAGCTGGTGGTCCACCCTCAGATATTGTGTCTCCCAGTTGTGCATGAGGTCTGGTCCAGCATTAGGGTGGATAGGGAGAGAGGTGATAGAGTAAATTTATGCATGCTGCCTGCCTGGAAGGGCTGGAGACTGTTAATTAGAGCTCAGGCATAAAGCTCAGTCAAGAATGTTGAAATAACCTAATGTTTTTGCTTTTCAGAGCCTAGCCTGGCAACATATGATCATCTTCTCTTTATATTTTATAGAGGCGGTATGTGCAATATCAACTTGTTCATGAATGTGTCCTGTTTAACATCTACTTTACATGCTTTCCAACTGTGAAGGCAGTTGATTTATGGATTAAAAGACAACCTCTTATGTGTGCAATCCTAGCGTTTCCTGTGCAGTCTGATTCTACTTGGGTGAAGAAAAAGCTGCAGAGGATCATAACCTCTTACAGGGAGGGAAGAATCCTTGTGTTTTGAGAATGGGCAGAACTGGGAGGAAGGCCCATTTTCTTTCTGTTTGTGGCTGCAATTTGATAAATCTAAAGAGCAACTGCTACTCAGGCTCTGTGGAGGCTGGATCTGACTACAACACATGTGATTTCCTAGACTCTGCCACTCACAGGGAAGAAATTGCACAGGGATTCTGTTTTTCTGCAGCAGTTCTGTGGATTGGAGCTGTCTTGAAATATAGCTGTGTTAGAAGGCAGGAGCCCAACTGCTGCAGGCCTTTAGCCAAAAATCTGTGGGCATGGAAAGAGAATAGTCACAGTAATCAGAACTGCAGTCTGTGTGTTATAACAAATGCGGAGGAACTGCTCTGGAGTCTCTCTGGGGTGTTTTTTGTTTATGAAACGCATTACTTTTCCCAGTGCCACGTTCTAGCAGACAAACTCGCAGGCCTGTTGGATTCCTTGCTAAGAAAGTATGTGTCTTTCTTAATCTGCCCCATTGTGCTGTGGGGATCTGGCAACAGTAGGGCAAATTTTAGTGCAAATAAAAGTGCAGCTGGTGTGGAGCACCACAAGTAGGGGTAGAGAAAGGAGAATTGTGACTCTTGTTTGAAGTCATGGTGCTTGTTTCCATTTGCATAGTATATTGCAGGCTGACCCTTTTTAGTGATGAACTGCATAGTGCAACTGAGATGTGACGTTGCTTGTCTCTTTGTCCCGCAGTTGATCTTGGCTCATCAGGCGTCATCTCTGAGGTGCTAGATGATGTCGAAAAGAGGAGCTTCACTCCCCAGGACCCAGATGATGGTATGAACTTCAATATAGTTGACAATCTGCACTGTTTAAGCTTGGGTGGAAGGGTGCTTAGGGAATTTCAAGTAGCTCTACTTAGAAAAATGCATTATGTTGGTCCCTTCTGATGCTTTCTGGAGACAAAGAAAGACAAATTCCAGTGCTGGGAAGGTGTGCTACGCGTTGGTGCGCTGGCTTCTGCGTGGGCGTAGAACATATCCAATGTGAATGAGTGTTTTGAGTCCCACACCGTAAAAAACACAGGGCTGTTTGCAAGACTAGTTTAAGGAGGAACGTCCGCTAGCAGCTTCATGAAATGATTTGTGTCTGGTGAACAGCAGGTTTTTGTTGTAATACGGTTTGAGTTCCTGTTCTAGTTCTTCCTGATCCTTTCCAGGAAATTTCATGAAATAAAACTTCATGCACAACTGAAGCTTGGGTCTGTAGAAGGGGTAGATTCTGAACGTCCCGTGTCTCGCTGGCTCCTTCTGCCATCTCTGTGTACACAACTTTCCCCTAGGGTGTTCATAGCCTTTCTGCACGTTTGGAAGTAGATGCAGCTTCAGTCTGCAGAGGAATGTGGCAGAGGGGTCTGTAGCTGCACTGTGTACAATGTGGTGTTAACAGAGTGTCGGAAGCCACTCTTCAGCAGCTGGCAGTTCTATATATGATAGGGTGACGAAGCTATTGCAGTGCATGCTTCAGGAAACCGGTGAGGAGTCGATACATGTTTTGGTCATTTAAAGGACAAAGATCGATTAGGAGATGGTATATTGGAGTAGCATATTAGGTTATCCTACTGGCAATTTTGTTTTGTTCTTGGAAGCCTGGAAATAGAATGCTGTACACCTCTTTTGGTTGATTCTGCCCTGCTATGTGTGTTGCACCATTTCTTGCTCTGGCTCTAAGCTGCTGCCAGAAGTGTAGACAGTGACTGTGCCTGCTCTGCTCCTTCACACTCCTTATAGAGTGCCACTGTTAGCAAAGGCAGTGACGATCAGCACGCAGGTACAGGCCTTGCCTGAATCGTGGGAGTTGAGTGAGCTTTTCTACACAGTGTTTTTTAAAAGAGAAAAAGAGAGAGAAATTGCTTGCATGAGACTAGATCAAAGCCACTTTGTCTAAGCAAGATGTGTATGTAGATTTTTTGTGCTCTTCAGTGTAGGATCCTTGTGCTCTTTTGGTAATTGCTTTTGCAGAATTCAGATTGACACATTGAAGAAAGCTGAGGCTGCTTTTTCGTTAGTGTGTTGTATGTGAACTGACTCTTAACTTCAGAAAACTCTGTGTTCCCTGCAAGCCCTTTCCTTCCCCCTTGAGGATTCTGTAGGCTGTAGCTGAAGTGTATACTAAACACCTAAATAACAAAAAAATGTTTTTTCTGACTTATAGGTATTTAGTTAATTTATTATGTCTTTCAAGGGAAGGGGGGATGTATTGTACCTAGTGGTTTTAAGTGAGTTGCCTGACAATTCCTCCCACTATTGTGCTATCCACAGCTAGCTACTGTTTCAGTCTCTGATAGCATCCAGTACCCTTATGTTTCCTTCATAAAACCAAAACAAGCTATCCGAAATTCGCACCACACAAATGAGCTGCTGAGCAGGACAGTTTATGCCCTTCGTCCTGCTGTGGCTTTCCTGGCCTGCCTCAGGCAGCATCGGTCTCTTTACCACTTTGAAATGTCAGTTACAGAAACCAGAGTCAAGGCCTCACAGAACTGGAAGGAGGTGTTTTCAGGGGGCAGTTGTATGTTCTTGGGCAGCTCTGGGGTGTACTAAAGAGGTGGCTAACCTGCCTGAACACCTGTTTCTGTTGCATCTGTTCTCTTCCACTGGAGTTAGAAGGTGGGTGGCATGGCTGCCTTTTTTCGTAGCCTGCTTGTTAGATAAATAATGCTGTCTTGCATCAAACAAGTGAATGTAGCTTTTGCAAAACTGCCTAAAGTCAAACAGATCATTTGCTTAAATCTGTCTCCAGAAGCACAGCAGTATAGTTGCCTCCAGAACACCGGCTAGCAAAACTCAAAACACATCAAAGTCTCTATGTGTAAAGTAAAGATCCCTGCTGCATTGTCAGCTTTCTAATTGAATGTATCTCATCTGTCCCCTGGGAGCCTGGGTTAACGAGCTGCTGTATATCGCCTTCAAAGTTTGAAGCTAACAGACTCCATTTTCTTCCTTTCAGCCAAATTTTTTACCACCGCTATGCAAGCGGTAAGTACCTCTTTGCTGCAGTCAAAATTCCTTTGAGCCCTCCAGCTGTTTCAGAATTACCTGTGAATTATCCAACCTGTCATACAAGGTTTAGCTCTCAGTCTTTCCCTTTTTCACCTGTGTTCATCATCTCCTGTAACTTTCTTCCATAATTCTGCAGTTCTTGCTTGACACCTCCTAAACTGGTAACTTGCATGCCTGTGATACGTGCAGCCCTCGCTGGAGGTGGCTGCGTAAGCCCCTGTGTTCTGTGCCCTACCTAGCGACACTGCAGCAGTCAGACAGTCTCCACAGCAGAAGCTGTCAGCTGAGGTTAGAAAGCTCTTGCCCGCTGGGAGAGTTGCACATTTCTCTCAACTAAACAAAATGCCCAGGCAGTCACTGCATTGAATTGCATCCTGTTAAAAAATTAAGTATTAAATTTGGGAGCTTTAAAATCTAACTGGTTTATTGCAGTGCTGTGATCTTAAGGATATCAAGCTTGCCTATCGGTTAAATAAGGCAATGGAGAAGGGGGACAACTGGAAATTCTTGGACATGGACCGGCTAAATGCCTACTGGTGAGTGAAGTGCAGCTTACATTCAGCGTCTTGTGTACTGTTGTCAGTCTGAATACAAACTAGGATTCCAGCACTGCGCAGCAGGAGACTTCTTTGAACACCAGCTGGTTATTGTCTGTGCCGTTTGGGAACTGGGTCCCTCTTAAATCCTAAGTTCTCATTGTTCTTAATTTTGGTCTATGGTCTTGCCCGAACTGAAATAAAGTGTCTTGGAGCATCAGTTTAGCTTAATACATGTCCAGCAACTGTATCAACCTGTTGTATTTTCTATGATCCCGTTGTCTACTTAGGATGGCACCTTAGGAGATAACACCAAAAGAGCGTGCAGGTCAGACCTAGCTCTGTGCGTGGTGGTGTAGAGAGAGGCTGAGTGCAGCAGGTGCATTTAGGCACGGAAGTCCCATTAGTTCCACCATTTGACGCTGTAATCATGGCATCTGAAACATCTTTACCAACGTCATCAAGTGCTGCAGTCACTTAACGTGATGAAGTGCTTGGAGCATACTGATTTGAAGGAAAGCCTCTTTAGGCACTGGAATTAGAGATGCTCCAGTAAATTAATGAAAAATAATTGTCATCAAAATGGTGATGTGGGATGATTCATATGGTTTTATTTAACCTGTAAAAAAGTCAAGGGAAACTAATGAAAGTTATTTTCTTGGTCAGTGCATTGGATCAAGGTCCCAGGCTTGTATTGTGGACTTGCAATAATGTTAATTTAGTTCACTTTTTAAAGTGGTTCTTAACCAGAGGGTGCATTTCAGACAGATTCAGATACCTCAAACCTGGTGTCAGGCAGGGAGATTTCATTTTTTCGAGATTTTAAAAACTGCAGTCATCTAACTTCTAATTCTGCCAATTACCTAGTGTCAGCATTAAGTTATCTCATAAAAAATGCTACTTCTTTTTAATTGTATGGAGTACTGCAATCATACTGTGAAATTTCCCTGATCTGCAGTATTGATCTGATGAGAAAACCGTCATTTGCTGGTTTGGTTGATCTAATCATTACTGAATTAGAACATTTTTTCCCCTCTTCTAGGTCAAAATTCTTTTCGTTGTTGTGTATGATGGAACAAATTGATGTTGTCTTGAAATGGTACAAAGAAATGTGCCCTTCGGTAAGTGTCTGTTAGGGTAAGCAAGCTTCAAAGCTTTAGTATGGAGAAACGTGACAGTTACTGAAACGATTCTCTTCCTTCATCAGCTCTTCTATCCAACTCCTAAAAATATATTGGACCTCCTTCAAGCACTGGATACAGCCAACCACTTGGAAGTGATCCCTTCAGTCTGGGAAGGTTAGTGGCAGCCACATGGCTACGTAGGCAGTTTGGTTGATAAAAGTCAGGAGGACTGTGAAGTGGGAGGTGGGTGGGAAACTTCCTGGTGCTCAGAGCAGCCCTGATAAGGTGCTGCGGCACGAGGGACGTTATTCCTTCACTGTGGAAGGTGCACTGGAGAACAGCAGAACCGATAGCACAGACTATTGGAGAGATCGTGGCTGTGTCGTGGTTAAATGTCAGTGTCTTGGAAAACTGAAATCTTACCGGAGAGTAGTACCTTAACCAGCAGCCCAGGTTTAACTCATTTAAATTATTTCCCTGTTCTTTGCCCCTTAAGAAGAGGAGACAAGAATGCAGATACAGGCTTTAGTACACAGAAAATACCCTACTGTCACCCAACACTGAGGGGACAGACAGGTTCTTTTAGGGGTCCTTCGCAGAATGATGACAGCACTAGTTTGTAGTTACAATTAAAGCTTTATTTTCTTAACAGGATTTTATGATTAGTATAGCATGGAATTTATAATCAGAATAGCACAGGATTTCTATAAGCAGAATCAGTGTAGTACAGTTTTATAAGGAGCACAGTACAGAATTTTGTAGCACCACTTATCTTATCCTTTCTTATCACCTGGACCTTCTGCAGATCAGGTCAAATCTTAATACTTGGTTTGCTGTATCAACATAAAAATCATAATCTAGCCTCAAAAAACGTACAAAAGAATACGAGTCACCACTCAGTCCTTGGAGGAAGCAGACAACAGTGGAGGTGTCCCTGGCCACGGGGGCTCATGGGTCTCACTGTCCAGCAACAGTTCAGGTCCAAGTTCCCACTTAGGACTTGTAACTACTTGGTTTTACAGGCAGCGCTCTGTGTGCTGGGACCTTTCCTGTTGCCACCCCCGGGCTGGCCGGGTGCCTGGGACCTGGAAGGCGGTTAGGGAGGGGAGCAGTCAGCCTGGCGCCCAGGAATCTTGAGGCTGCCAGGGAGGGGAGGAAGAAAGTTGTGGTTCATGTACTTGGTGCACAGGACCTTCAGGGCCTGATAGTGGGGGGAAGAGAACTTACACATGACCCGGTCGGTCACAGAGAATGGCTGTTTGCCTTACAAAATGGCGTTAGTTACTCTGACCGTATCACCAGGGGTTGGGAGCAGGGGGTACCGGTCACACCTACTAACTGCTGCCTTTCTCTGAGCAGATATGAAACAGCTGGGGTTTAATAGGAGATATGACCTGTTGGAAGAGATCTTGTCTTTGATGAGCAGGGAGCAGCACCCTGAAGAGGTAAGGAAGCTGTTGTGGTTTAACCCCGGTGAGCAGCTAAGCCCCACACAGCTGCTCCCTTATTCCCCCCCTGGTGGGATGGTGTAGAGAATCGGAATGGTAAAACTGCAAAAACTCCTGGGCTGAGATAAAGACAGTTTAGTGGCTAAAGCAAAAGCTGCGTGCGCAGGCAAAGCGAAATCAGGAGTTCACTCAGTACTTCCCAGCAGCAGGAGGTGTGCTCCAGGAAAGCAGGGCTCCATCGCAAGTAATGCTTACTTGGGAAGACAAATGCCATCACTCTGAACGTCCCTCCACCCCTTCCTTCTTTTCCCCCAGCTTTTATTGCTGAGCGTGATGTCGTATGGCATGGGGTGTCCCTTTGGTCAGCTCTCCTGGCTGAGTCCCCTCCCAGCTTCTTGTGCACCCCTGGCCTGCTCACCGGTGGGCTGGTGTGAGAAGCAGAGAAGGCCTTGACGCTGTGTAAGCACTGCTCAGCAATAACTAAAACATCCCTGTGTTATCAACACTGTTCTCATCACAAATCCAAAACATAGCACCATGGAAGCTACTATGAAGAAATTTAACTTTATCCCAGCCAAAACCGGTACAGAAGCTCAATGAAAAGAGTAGAGATGTATCCCCATTCCTGTGTGCAGTGTACAGACTGTATTTAAGTGCTGTATTATTGTCCTCAATCAGTCTGAGGACCATTTACAAATGGCCGTTACAAATTGCTGCCATCACAAATTTCCAGATCTACATGAGCTTATCCAGGCCTGCTAAGCCCTTTGGGGTTCTCTTCAACCTGTAGAGAAACCTCAGATTAACACAAAAGAGGATTGCTTGCTTACTGGGGGTTGGAAGAGTGATCCAGCCCAGCCAGCCACATCTCTGGGGAAGCACGTGGCAGAATTCAGGGATTTTTGCCCACGGTGGCATTGCCGTAACGCTTCTCAAGCTGAGGAGCTCGGTTAAAGGCTCATGTGTACTCTGAGGTCTCTGAATGCAGCTGTCCCTGCAAAGCCCTCTCAGAGCTTGCCTAGTGAGGACAATTGTCGTGACAGAAGTGAGAGGTTTTTCTGCCAGGAGTAACCACTGTTAATTCACAAATTCAAATCACGACAGAGCAGACCTGTAGGATCTGTAGGAGAAATTGCACTGGGAAGGATATGTTAATTCTAGAGGTTTGGGCATTAATAGCACAATCTTTTCACAGACTCAGCTGGCGTTTGCCAAGTGTGCCGAAGACATCAAAGCTGTCCACGAGCAAACCGGGAGGGAGCAGGCCCCCTTGGAATGGACAGGCAGTGCCCTGGGCAGTGTCGTTCTGTTGTTTTCCAGGGCTGGGAGAACCCAGGACGCTTGGTACGTCTGTGGCTGTCAGGGGCTCTTGGCTTGCTGACACTGTAACTCCAGGCTTAATTGCAAAAATCTAAAGCTAACGACTGATTGCCGTGGAACGCCTGGGCAGACAAAGGGAGGAGATGAGTCCTGCTAGGAATGTTACGGGGTTTTTTCCTAATTTTATTGTTCATTCTTGGCACCAAGTTGCAGTTGTCTGTCTTAAAAATGGTGTAGAATTTAATGTAGCAACTTGCTTACAGCATCGTACTGCTGCTTCTGGCAAGGTCGGGTTTGATTGTCACTTCGCTAGGCACTGCCGATTTCCTACAGCTTCCTGTTCTCTAAGTTTTAGAACTCTTTGGAATTCAAACTGTTAAAGAGATTAATTAGAGTTTAATTAAACTTCTGATTAGAAGTAACCCTAGTTAAAACACTAAAGAGAGTATTTTTAGAACTCTCCAGAAGCTAGAATTTACTGTCCTACATGCTCTTAACTTGAAATCCTCATTAAAATTTCTAGCCTCCAATTTAAGGTTCTGAGCTATTTTCTGGTAAACAGAGATGCTCTCTTTGCACTAATGCATTTTAAACAAAGAAGGGGCAAGTACCCTTCTAATAATGTGTAATATTTTAAAGTAAACTTGCCACCAGCTACATTTTTCATTTTTTTTTCTGCACTAGTGAAGACATTCTGTGTTAAACTAATTGGTGACGTCAGCTGGTACACATTGCATCTGCGAGAAGAAGGCATGGGATCTGTGGGGAAGATGATTTCATGAAATGGAGCTTGCCTCTGTTTCAGCGAGGGGTTATCCAAGAGATTCAGTATCAGTCTGTTCCTGTGTTTTGTGGTGGGGTTTTTTTAAAGTCGTTATTTTGTTTTCTTTTGAACAGGAACATGATGGAGCGTTTCCAGCAAATCAATAGGATTCCCACGTGAGTACCTTTGGGCTCTGACTTCAGGTACTGAGTCTCCCCTTTGGCTGTGAATTTGCATTTCTCTTATAACCAGCAGTAGCGGCCCATATCTTATTGCTACCTCCGAAGCGCGAGGGTGTGCCTGTCCCCGTGAGCACGGGTGGTGGTTTATCCAGCTGGTATGTTCCAAGACCAAGAATATGTCTTAAAAAATGTTGAAAATGCAAAGGGAGGGGTTAAGCGGTTGATCCTTGAGATGTCATTGAATGAAGCTCTGGGACGTGGAGAACAGTGCCACTGATGAACTTGGCATTAGAAGTCAGTCTGAGCAGGACTCTTGAGAACATCTCATTTCTCGTGTGCTCCAGAAAATTCTGCTATACTGTTAACCAAGCGTAGGTGCTTCAGAGGTGTCTGGATGTCTGAAGACAAGTTTGTCAAGTCAAATCCTAAATCTTACATGGTACTCTGTTAAGCTACAACAGTTAGCTTTCCTCAGGATTTTTGAAGGAGAAAATTCTGTTTGAAGTAGAAAACAACTCCTAAGGAATAGGAATGCATTTTAAAAAAAAAGCAAACAACTGCTTGGTGTTCATGGAAATTAACACCTCAAATCCGATGTTGGAGCTGGGGATGGTTGGAGCGGGGGATTTCACTGAGAGGCGCGGCGTTCTCTGTGGCTGCCCGCACCAGCGAGCGTGCGGTGCCGCAGGCAGCTGATAGCAGCACTCTGTGCCTGCCCTGTCCTGCACGGCCACCAGCGTGGCCCGGGGAAGCCGTGATGCTGCTGAGCCACGTCAGAGCTCCTGTCTCAGTTCGGAGAATAGGGGGAGGAGAAGAATTTTCCTTCTGAAGTGGTGGTGTAGCTGATGGTTTGTGGATGCCATGAGTCATGAATGTGAAGGGGAAGAAAGTAGTTCCCCTGCGGTTACCAGATGGATCAGAGGCTCCTCTGCTTGAACTGTCCCCTCCCCTCCCTTCTCTGCCAAGCTCCCTGCGGCACCAGCTGCAGATGCTGACTTGTGTCCCTGCCTAAAGGCAAGAGAGGTGTCCCCAGCACCTGTCGCAGGTGATGAAGGAGCAGAACCAGCACCTGGACATGAAATGGAGCTGGCAGAGCCGAGCCAGCTTTCGGTGGCTCCCAGTGCCCACGGACAGCACAGCAGCCTCTGGCAGCGAAACGCCTGCCTTTGATGTAGAGAGCTGTTCCTTTACCATTGCCAGCCATGTAAGAGGGCAAGGAACTCATGTGGGGTCTGTAACGAGGGGAAGGTTATTTAGGCTGCTGCTAAGGTGGGGTCCTTACCTTGAGCAGTGAGCTGCTGCCCTCTGGTTTTGTGCCAGGAGAAGCATTCCTTTCTGCTAGGGTAGGAGCTCCCCACCGCATCACGTCAGTACAGGTGGAACTCTGGGCAGGAGCAGAATTTGGGCTGGCTGAGTGATCTGAAAATCTGTCACCTCCTCTCCCTCTCTAAAGCACCTGCTGTAGGCAAACGGCCACCTCACCTGGGGCCCTGGGAAGAGTCACTGTTTGCCTTTGCTTTTGCAGCGACCAAGTGATGGATGAGTTCTTGAACTGTGCTAAACAAACCAACAACCCAGATGAAGCGATTAAGCTGGTAAAGCTGGCAGCGTCCCTCGGTCTCCCTTCATCTCAAAGGCTTAAAAGCAGAACGGAGGAGGAATTTGAGCTCTCTGAAAAGCAGAAGTAAGTTGGAGTACTTCATGTTACTGCTGAAGGGTATAGTAGGCAGGGTGTCAGAGGGGTAATTCCTGTGGAAAGCTGTACGGAATGGCCCTGCACGTGGTTCCCAGGTTGTGAGGCTCATGGCCAACCTTCAGGACACCTGGCCAGCCACTGTGGTTCGTTTCTGAGCTGATGCAGCCAAGCTCAGACAGCGGGCTTAGCTTTGAGGACCACAGTTTGGAGCCAGTGGGCTGGACCAAGGGAATGAGTAACTAGAAGTCCAGCACCCCTGACAGCTGGCCCACCGCTTTCTGGGTAGGTGAAGGCTACGAGGATGATGAGGGGACTGGAGCATCTCTCCTATGAGGACAGGCTGAGGGAGCTGGGATTGTTCAGCCTGGAGAAGAGAAGGCTGCGAGGGGACCTTCTAAATGCCTATAAATACCTGAAGGGTGGGTGTCAGGAGGATGGGGCCAGACTCTTTTCAGTGGTGCCCAGCGACAGGACAAGGGGCAATGGGCACAAACTGAAGCAGAGGAAGTTCCGTCTGAACATGAGGAAGAACTTCTTCCCTCTGAGGGTGACGGAGCCCTGG